ATCCTCGGATATTTGTTTTTTAACAATGGGAATAACGTTACACGGAATATCCGCGCCAATGTTCATCCGTTAAAAATATCACTTGTTCTTCTTAAAAATAGAAATTCGTCCATTGTTGAGTAGAACGGAGATCCACCGTAGTCCGATGTTCGGATAATTACAGACTTTTCCCGTAACGAGTATCATTTTTCACGTTCGTTAGCCGTTATTCATTAAAAACATTAATTATTCCAGTCATACGAAATATCTGTTCTTATTGTTTCGCGAATTCTATCACGGAATGAATTTCTTGCTCGTTTATTCATTCTGTCGAGTATTAATTTTGAAAATATACAAAAGAGATTTCTCGTCCACCCCTGCTAATATATATTGTGAATTGTGAAAAGGATCGCTGTATTTTAGGTGTAAGAGGAGGTTCGTAAGTTCGGGCGATCAGAATGAAAAGTATAATGGGCCCTTGTTCGATCGAATCGGAAATCTCTGATACAGTCTAGGTCCAATCGGAAGCAATCTCGGTTCAATCAGATCAGGTGCTTCATCAGGATCAACGGAATTCAATTTTCTAAAGTGATTTACCATTTTTATTTCGATATGATAATACGGGGAAAAACGCTGACTGGCGGGCGAGAAAGCATTCGATGAAATAAACGGGCTCAATTCCGTTTTAACGAAGCAAACCTCGAGGCGGCAGTTGGTACATTAACAATACTCTATCTTTCATCAACCTAATGAATACAAACTCGATTGATACGTGTATATCCGTAATAAACTGAAACCAACTCGATTACAAACTTTGTTCGCCGATGCCGACACATTCAATTATCGATGGCCCGTAAACTCGAACCCCATCGTTGTGTACAACGTTCTGCCATAAATTTGATAATTACAATATGTTGATATAATTAATCACGTGACCTGGGCAACGTTATCGGAAAAATTAAGGCTTAAAATTCACAAAGAAAATTAAACAACCAGAGATACATCACCCGTGGGTATTTTATGACCAAACTTACAGCAGTTTTGAACAAATTCAATCAAGGATCGAACGATAGCTTGTGTAAAATTTTTTTTACATAGTTACAGCAGTTCAAAGAACGAAAAAACTGTAAAAAGGTTCGTCGACTTTGTCCTGGGATGACATTAAAACTGATATAACACGATAAGATGCTGAAAAAGCGACGGGATCGAATGTTTACACAGCAGACAACGAAACTAACGAGCCTAATCCAATTTGAAGGGGCCAGGTATTAGCTGCTTGCCATCCCCCAGTTAGATAAATGACACGAACGCGAAAAGAAGAAAAGAAACCCGGTCGCTTTTCCCAGCGTTCAGGACATTTTCTCGCAGTCGCTGCGAATTTCATTCGGTTGCTTTTCTAATTCCACGGGTCCTTGTTTTCCAGACACCGATGTCGTCTCTTTTACGGCGTCTAAGGTCGTTTTCGTCTATTCAACTTCCAATTGGATTCGGTAATTGCCGCTAAAATTATCCGTTCCCGCCCCCGCCGCCCCATTCTAGCCCGTGGTTGCTTTCCTCGGCCCTTCCTCGCCTCTCAAAGATCGATCCCGCGCCTCAAATCTATACTCTTGGTCGTTTCTCTATTTTTAGTCGCGTCTCCCATTCTATCAGCTCGTTAACCTATCCGTCGGAATACGTTTTAATCCCTGCTCGACGAGAAAAATTTCACCCTTCGACCCCTCCGCTCGATATTAATTTTTCCTCCAACTTTTTCACGATGTTTGCTCCGCTAACGTCGTTTTCCTTGGGACTTAATCCTCGAAATACCGTGTCACGAGTTGTCGCGTTCAAGATTAGGAAAATTGGAAATATTCAGTTATTTTATTCTATACAAAAACGTTCGAACCTGTTCAAAATAAACGAATATTACAATCGGTGAAAATTTTCCGATAATAAATATAAAATATTCGAATTTTGTTTACATATAATTCATACAACGTGTGCGAGTAAAAATAATCCAGGTATTATTATAAATGTTTTAACGATGCGATGAAAAATATAAAAGTTTTTAGTCTGCAACGTTTTATCTGGATTTCAAAATTAAATTTGACAACAGAAAGAAATAACAGTTTTACCTTGTACGTGGGCTGATTTTACCAGACAACGAAGGGAACGGTTAATCGGATCGACGAAGCCGGGAGAGGTCGAACCTCCAAGAAATTAAACAGAACCGTGGAACGAAGAACGGCTGAAGTTTGGTTGACCTAATCAAACGTGGCTGCAATTAGAACCATGCTGATTGTAAGTAAGCGACGAAAAGCGGAGACAGCGAACGGTTTCGATCCACCCCCGGGGCAGACGATATACGTCCCAGCAATAAAGTAGTTGAACTAAGTAACTTGTTGGACACTGGGAGTATCTCAAACTATCCAATTACGGCCCGAAGATTCAAATTACGCGCACTTGTACGGAAACGGAAATTTGTTCAACTGGTCGAGGTTAATTTCGCTCGAGCGGGATCCGGCCAGATTGAGTATGCTCTTATTAGGCTCCTATTGACTCGAAAGTATACGCATCATCGTCGGAGAACTTTTGAAACTTCTGCCTACGGAAACTGTTTACCCATTCGAATCGTACGAAAGAATTAAAAATAAGACAAATTATTTTTATTTCATCTTAAACTTAGCTAACCTTCTTTGATCTTCGAATGAACAGGAATTGTTTTTTAATCGAGAAACGCTGTTAGAGAAGTTTATAGGTCGATATTTCGGTGGAGCAAGTCTGTCTGGCGATATTGTCTTCGGAGTTTATACGGTTATAGTCCGACGGGACCAAAATCTTGCGAATCGGATAGCATGCAGCCGTATCCGTAATACTGACCGTTTGAACTTCCACTTCGGGGAATTCGATTGCAAGTTCGATCATTACAGCCGGGGTCATCTCGAAACTCGAGACCCGACCCGATCGTCATTAAGAGCTGAAAGTTTCGAGACAAGTATGTAGACAGTGCTCGAGTACCGTACTCAACTGATATTGCTATTGTTTGTAACGATATGCGGTATTTAGTGCATCCTTCGCCTCGAACGTCACGCGGCAGAACGAATCAATTGGATATAAAGAATCTTTTTCGATGGAGCTTCTTGAATCTATCGAACAGATATGAAATATTGCTACTTTGAATAATTTACGTACATTTCATTTCTCCGGGAAGCATTATATCATAGTAAAGATACGTTTGTCTTAATGGAATGCATCGAGTAATCTAAATTAGCCTGTTAAATAGAACGTGATGCTTTGTTTTGCATAATTAGATAATGCTACAGAGATTAATTGCAGCTTGTTGACTCTCGAGAGCATCAATTCAGTTATTGTGCAATGTGATGGAAGTCTTCCGGTTGCTACAAGTTTTGTTATCGTTACAGTGTAGATACTCTTGCGAGTTTCATGTATGGTAACATTCGAATGTAAAATTTTAAATATCTTTTTTTTCTCTTTCGTTGTTCATTTTCTAAAAGAGTACCTATGATTTAGCATAGTGTTCTTATAAAAATTTCGTCCACTATATTTATTATTTTGAACTCTGCATCTTCAAAGTTTCTTAGGGTTAGAAATTAATTTTTAGCGAAAGATTGCCGACGTTTCAGATTACCGTGCATCGTCGAAAGATGGATACCGTACCCCGTAGGCATCGAAGGATTAACGTGGCCTAATTCGAGCAGCTTAGAAGTGGCGAAGACAGGAAAAGAAGGGTCGGAAGCCGGTAATTCCAGGCTCCTTCGCAAGTACCGTCGGAGCCCTCCTCAAGAATAAAAAGCGACCTGATTATCCTTTGTTTTATCCCCAAGGAATCCCGGAGGCATCCCGCCGCGGGATTCACCGCCCTCCCCCCCTACCCTCACCACCACCGGAAACCGGGAGAAACTTTTTAAAGACTGCCGCCGTTCGTTCCGCGACGGCTCTCTTCGTTCCGTGACCTGTTTCACCGAGCAGCAACTTTCTGGAATTTCGTTCCAACTCTTAACCAAACCACGGCCGCCTCTCTATCTTTCTTCCCGAACGAACAATCCTGTCGAATCGAGATCGAGAACCGCCACCTACCCGAAGCCATCCCTCCTGAATCCTCGTCGAAGATTTACCATAAGGAGCAAGGCAAATACATCCTGGCGCGCACGTAGACTCCTCGAATCCTCATGGATCCTGACGCGCAGGATCACGGATTCGGAATAAGTTCACGGCGGTGGGCACGGACAGATACTTTTATCGTCGCAAAAACGACCGTATCTGTACACGTTCGACGTTACAGGGCGGGACGGAATCGGAGACAGATTCTATTATACGGCTTTGTCTTTATGGTCGTTATCGTTTAATGGATCGGAGACAGAGATTTGCGAAAATCGTGGCCAGCGTATCGGCCAAATGCTTTACGACGCGACTTGGAAAGTCTCGTTCGTTCTTTGCCTTTTTTTTTATGAAACCTTATAATTAGCAGCAAGTAAATCCAAGAAATTTAGATTTCCATAATTGCTTACGAACAATTAACGTTGAAGCTCGAATACGCGATCGTGAAACGGAAGCAACAAGCACCAGTGTGTTTCTTTTAATCCACATCTCGCGAAATATCCCCAGTGATATTTCCCTTTTATTTTGCTCGCAAACTAATTTCCCGGTGCTCCGTAGAAGCGACAAGCCAGTATCAACCGCGAGTGTAGCTTCCCATGGATACATCCCCGGCTCGGAGAAATGAATTCCGTGCCGAGAGAGAGAAAGACCGCGGTTAAATCAGCCGCTTTATGCGCGGGAACCGCTCCGGTCTCGTTCGTTCGCTCTTTTATTTCAATTTCCCGGTACGTACGCGGCTCGTTAGAGGTGCTAAAGAAAACCTCGGATGAAAAAAGTGTAACGCGGGAACAGAGCGTGGGCGCGATTCGTCGCGACCGGGGAAGAAAAGATCGAGGATTCGTTGCCACCTTGGGGATTATCAGCAGGTTAATTACGCGGGAGAACGACGCTTGTGTTTACCAGGCTGGCTATTTGTCTTGCAGGTGTTATCAGCCAGGTGATAAGCACCCTTGTTGGCCGTGAAACCGACGAGCTGACAACGGGATTCTTCTCTCTCTTTCTCCACCTTCCCTTGTACGGCCGAAGGAGGGTGGCTTGGAAGGTCCTCGAGCTGGAACGGAAGCCACAACGCTCGCAGGGGGCCGCGGGAAATGATAGAAGATGAGCGCGACCGGCGAAGGAGGACCGAGGGAAGAGTGAAGGAACCGAGGAAGCTATCCGGAACAACGAAAATGAGATGGGATGCTGCGCTCTGTCTACTCTCGTTGCTGCTCTTCTCGCTGGCCAATCTTTGCTGGGCTTTCGTCGAAACCCGAGGTAAGGTGAAAGACCACTCGATTGGGTTCCCAGTATTTCGACACTAATCTATACAGGGTGTTCAGCCACCCTTGGGGAAAAATTTTAATGGGAGATTCTGGAGGCCAAAATAAGACGAAAATCAAGAATATCAATTTGTTCATTGAGGCTTCGTTGAAAAGATATTAAAAAATTTCATATTGTTGAAGAAAAAATTATTTTCGGTTGCAGGAGTCAATTACAATCATTTTTGGTGAATAGACGTATCCCCGATATCCTACGCACTTTCGAGAAAAAAATTGGAGTAGATGCTGAAATTTTTCGGCGAAATTGAAAAGTTTCAAATCGTTCTGGAAAAATTATTCTTGGTCGCAGGAGTCTATTAAAATCATTTTGTATGAATATACATACCCTTGAATTCCTAACCATTTTCGAGAAAAAAATTCCTTACCGAAAATATAATGTGTGACTGGAAATATCTCTATAACTTGTTAACGAAGTCTCAATCTAAAATCTCCTATTAAAATTTTTCCCAGGAATGGTCGAACACTCTGTATAAAAAATAATTTTATTCGGTTCTTAAATTATTTCTAATTGTTTCGTGACTCCCATTTGCAATCTGTTGGTTTGTACTGCTTTCACAGCGTCCACGGCTGATTTGTGAACGTAAAATTTTAGCTCCGATAATCGAACGGTTTTCAAGACATTAATAAATAAACGTTGTTGTAATGAAATAATTGCCGGGGGAGCAGCCGAATAGGAATCGAACTTCGAAATTATTGACGTTATTATTTCTCGGGTTAATTGAAATAGCCAGGGCGAACGGCAGCGGGTCGAATAATTGCGACCGACCGAATTGTTTAATTTGAATCCACGCAAATACGTGGAATTTAAATGTTCGCCGCTTTACACCGGTCCATTTGAATACCAGTGGCCGGCCGGTGAGTCAAATTAAGGGAAAATCAAAAATGATTGTCACGTTGTCGAAGCGTTGGATTATGTTCGACTTCGGACTATGAATATTCATACCTTTCACCCCCTTTGCGAAAAATTCCTAAGCAACGATGGGGGCGGCTCGCGAATGTGCAATACTCGATGTAATTAATCGTATGCGTCGGCACGTACCTGATAACCGGATGATCCTTAATTTACGCGCTCTTTATTTTCCCCAACACCTTCCACCCCCGACCGCCACACGTAGAATGTGAAAGGATTTGGTCAGAATTGCATTTGCGAATTATTTATTCCCCTTTATTACCAAATCGTGGTAAATATTTTCACCCTATCGCGATTAAACTGTAAAAAAGGATCAAACGAAATCGATTACATTAAAACTTTACGAACCATCGTCGAGTTCTTAATTTTGGGATCCATTTTTGTTGTGGAATATTCCCTGGTATTAACGACGCTAGATTATAAAGTACCCTCTTTGATTAAGCCGATGAGTTTCCTATATTTCACGACAAAATGGCGGATCATCCTTGGGAACTATAGTCGTTTTCAACTACTTTCGCCGGTCAGACACATTTACCCCCCGGCTAATACCGTCCTATTTTACCTCCATTGTTACCCTGTCATGGCAGACCCTCACGTTCTTTTGTCACGTGGGCGGACGCGTTTGAACTAATACGAATATAGTTCTAATCTTTGTCGATCTTCTCGGTTAAATTAACCCCTCGATAAGGAAAATGGACGATTTAAAAGAAATGAAACACATGGAAAAAAAGCAAATAGAAACAATACGAATAATATTAATAATAAAATATGATCGAAACTAGTTTATATTCTGTCCATAAATCTTTCGAAAGTAAAATCACATTAATACAGTTCGATGTAGTCTTATACAATTTTTACAATAAAGTGAAATTTTATTCCATTGTTCTTGAACTCTGTCGCGCGGTTCAACGATCGACGATGGCGGGGAATTATACGCAATGTGCATTCCCTTTTTCAATAACGCCCACAGATTTTCGGCGGAATTCAGATCTGGGCTTTGTGCTGGCCACTCCAGAACAGACAATGGTCGGACACTCAACCAATCTTGCACACTTATGACAGTATGTTTCGGGTCTCGAGTGTGTTGGAACGTAATATCTTCTTCGTAGAACGTTATATACATGTTCCTCATAGTTTTTGCTAGACTTCTTTCTAGAAAATCTTGGACGCAACGCGCAAAATGGCGCGCTTAACGGGATCCTCCGACGCTATTCGAACGGTTGGCTGTTTACCATACAGGTCAGGCCAGGAGAAGTTAACGATTCGAGCGACAAAAAACTCGGCAATTATACACAGCTGCCGACTAATTTGCAATTGACTCGCGTGCGAATCCGACGGTAATTATTAGTATCAGGTTCGCCATTATTACGTGGGCTAGTCCTCACGTTCGAAAGCGTCCGCGATATTGTATATTGCCGCGTTGAATTATGGAAATTGGTCAGGTCGCCAGGTCGCTGGTTCGGTAATTAATTGTTAATGCACGGGCTACTTATTGGTAGTTACGGGGCTTCGATGAACCGTGTCCGGGGGATGCAACGCACTTTTTAACGTTTCGACGTTCGTCTAATTGGCTCGTGACTTATGGTAATTCCATTCGTAAGTATCGCGAGGAACCTACACAGTCTGGCGGCTTCCGTTGCCACTACAGTTGCAGCGCAGAAGCCGGTATGAATAAATGATTAGGTGGCTGCATATGAAATGCTTGTTGCTTCGACCGAACGACAAAAGCGCGAGGAGTTTTTCAAATTTTATTCACGTTCCTGTTTTTGTTCAAAGTTTCCAGAATCACCTTCAGCTTTTTTCTGGATAGACGTGTAATTTTGTTGACGAATTCGTTTTAGCTCGAGAGGTCTAACGATTAAATATTTTATAGAGCAATAATCGACCGAAGAAGTTATTATACCGCGAGAGATAAGTTTTTAATTCCAAAGAGGTTGCCTGGTTCTCTATAATTTCAGCCATCTCTTAATCTAGCCTCGCATGATTTAAGACTGCACCCCGAATAAGATTCCGTTTCAAGATAAATGAAGACGATGGGAAACGGGTCACGCAGCCTGACTGAATTTTGCATAAAACTTTGAATTATGAAGATTGCAATCTCGATTCTGCGAGGCGCGCAAATTAATTACTAATAACGCCTCGCTTATTACTAATTACACGCCTCGGTAGCGACGTTCGCGCCGTCGACAGCAATATTCGACGCCATTTCTCAGCTTTGCGCCGAATAGATTTTCATTAATAACACGTCAAAGATGCAGTCGTTCCTCGTTCGCCTTTTATTAACCCCTCTGTGGATTGTCTTTAATTATTGCTTTATATATTGTACTACGGTGTATCTAGAAGAGCTCGAGCAGGGAGTAGCTAACGAAATTCGAAATATAAGTTATAAAGACGATCGTTCGTGTTTCGAAGTCTTGGGTCTTTCATTCAAACTGCACGATTTTGTATAGAAATTACAAGATGAAAAGTTGTTAATTATTTACAAAACACGTTGTTATAATTAGTAGTTTAAACTCGTTATCAGTCTCTGTTCTGCTTCGTGTCTTCGTCGAAATTTCGGATTTTAGCGTTCACCATCGGGGTATAAATAACCAGCCTTTACTCAATTCTCGGCATAAGCCTTTGAAGCTTAGTGGGTTATACTCCGACCCACTTAATGTAATAACGATAATGCATAGTGGATCAATTTAGATCCCAACTTCCCCAAAGCGCAGCGTCCTTAAAGCACATGGATTCAATACCTGCTATTATCTATCGGTGATGAATCGTGCATACCATTTACGTGTGCACGTAGTATACCAGACAATTTAAACGTGATTTATTTATGCGTTCCATTCTGCTACGATCCGACGAATACCTTCAATTTCAGAGGAAATCAGTCAGTTCGAATCTAGGATTCTTTACTGTAAAATACGACACGCTTTTAACGTTAATAATTCTTTCTCGTAATTTTAGAATAATCATTATTTGCATCTTGGAAAAGAAAAATTTCCGGTAGAATGCCCATTCTTTAAAAAAAATATATTATTAATGTACACATTTTTCATTGTTTAATGAACATGGCGAACACATCGAAGAGAAGTACGAAAAAAAATTAGTCGAAAACATTTTATTTTTGCCTGTTAAAAAGTTAAATTGATTAAATTAGAACTCGAGGAAATGTTTAATTAACTTTTAACTGGCGTTGTGCGCCGACGTATATTAAGTGGCGTTCGAATAAAAGTTACTACGTCGTGTAGATAGTATCTCATAATACTAAATACCGTACATTTTTAATCTAATTAGCGTACGCTCAGCGTCGCCACTCTTTCGTCGAGATCTCGTTTCAATCAACTCCGTGGAGAAACTAGTTTGGATACTTTAACGGTGTAGCTGGCGCAATTAGCGTGTCAGAGCGAAAAAGCAGTGTCAATGGAGAAAAATATGAATGTTAAAATATTGCCTAATGACATAAAGGAATAGGTAATAAAGGCATACGAGTCAAAGGTAAATGCTCGCGTTAATAGCCAATTACCAAGCAGTTTCCAACTAGAACCCGTTGCTCTTGGAGGAAGCCTTATGCTTGCTGACCGTATAATCGAAAATTAGGGTGCAGTTAGGAAGTGCTTAAGCAACAACTGTTTATTGATATAGTTAATGAATTTCTGGGCTAGTTATCGTTCCAGACCAAACACGGTTATATCTCTACTATTGTTACAAGCACTTAATTATTTCCACTCATATTGTATTTCGCGATTGCTTTTCTACCAAATATGAATTGCTAGATAATAACTTTATTAAAAAAAGTAAACATCGTGGCTTATTTAAAAATTTAATTATAGATATATTGTTCATTAATAGTTTATCAAGAAAAACAATTTTTGTGGAATTTGGAACTTGTTTACATGTCCTAACTATTATAAACAAACCGTAGCAAAGTGGGGATGTCCATTAAAAAATTTAATAGGAAGTGCTTCGCTTCTTCAAGCCATTTATTAGCGTGCATAAGAAGGAACATAATTATTTATGCCATGTTGAATAAAAAA